AAAAGTGTAATTAATCATTATTTGCCGATTTTCCGCCTATAGCTAAAACAAAATTAAGAATCTCATGCGCTCATCACACAACTTTCACTTACGACTCTATTTTGAGTAAAAATTATTTTCTAAAAAATTGAGTTATTATCAAACGTTTTTGAAGTGGATCATTGGTGTATCTAAACATTAAAGATTTTAAAGAATTTTAGTCGAGTCGAGAATTTTAAAAAAAATAACCGCGACATTAAAAATCGTTGGATATTTAAAATTAGATCTGAACCAAAATTAGATAAAGTAGATTTGATTCCAAAAGTTTACTGATTTTTACTTGGTATACCATGTATAGAAAAAAAATCATGATGTCTTACAAGGTTTATGTGAACATACAGTCATAAATTATAATGTTTCCTTAAGTAAAAAAAAAAAAAATCAAGAATCTAAAATCTATTTTTTTTTATTTATTTTACTTTAAGAAATAATATTAATAAAAAATAAAAAAAACTCTAAAATTTAACACTAATAGTAGACATACAGGTCATAGATAGGAAGCGGGGTAGTTCAGTGGATTAACACTGATTTCCAGAACTCAAGGTTCCAAGTTCGAATTTGACTGATGACTATTAATTTTTCCTCAGCCGTGAATCTATCTTGGGTCAGGAGACCCTTCCTGGCGGTTGTGCGTGATCTCGACCCAATCACCTCCCTGCACATTCGTTGGCTTAGTAACAGTACTTCTTAGCATTATACTGATCCCAAGACCCTTCATGGGTTGTAAGTGGTACAGGTTTTAGATCGTAGGTGGGTAGCGTGTAGGGCCCCATAGTCTTTCTAAGCGGCTTTAGTTAATACTAAGAAATATAGCTTTAGTAATAATAATTAATATTTAATTATATATAGTTAGGCAATATAAAAATTAAAATTTCTACATACATATATGTCATTAATAAAAAATTATAAAATCCATTGCGGTGTGCATCACACAAAATTCAGAATAAATTAAAAAGTTAATAATTTTAGTATACGGTCTATTAATTTATTTTTGATTGAAAACAACCCTCCCTCCTCCCAAAAAAAAAGTTATCTCTAATAAAAAGTATAATAACATGATTACCAAAATACATAATTATAAAAATTAACAACATAACATAATATATGTTAAAGAATATACATTTATGTTAAAACCTCAGATGGTCCTTGAAAAAGTTTTTATTTATACAAAATATTAATGATCTTTCTAGTTAGGCTTCTAAAAATAAGAATTTAAGAATGACAACTGGAACTAAGTTAATTTGCAGATGTTCTCAAACAAATTAACTAAATCTTTTTTGAGATGGAATAAATTAGTTCTAATTAAGGATCACACCGTTATTTATAATTTAATAATTATATAATTTTATTTACTTATTATGAATTAGACTCTTTTCATTTAAATTCTTCTGTTCCCTGCTAAAATGATGTTTCACCAAATCTAAACAAAAAAAAAATATGATAATACTTCAATAATAAAAAGAAAAAAAAATATCATAAAAAAATTTAAATTTACGTAAAAATAAAATAATTCTATCTTGTCACACATCCATACCTATATACAATATTTACATTCAACCTAGAGAAGTACGAAACAAGCTTTGCAGTTCTCATTTAAAAAGCAAAGCAGAGTTCAAAGTGATCCCAGCACTTTTCTCTCAGTCGCATCATGGTTATTGAATACTGGTGAATGACGAAATTTATTGATACATTAACATGAAATTTACGAAGTTAGAATCATGAAAAAATATTTGATTAAAAACAACAATGGATTTCGTTTCGACTTCCTAGAGGAGTTTATTCAGAGAAAACTTCAACAATTAATAAGCTTCAAAACCTTGTTTAGTCCAAACTCTGACTGTCCAAGAACTATTAAAAACCAATGACATATCACAACCATAAGTTAATGCTAAATTCGTGCTGATAATGATTTATGATGTTTCTTAACGGGTTGGCGTCCAGCCACATTTGTAAACTGTACGAATTTACAGTATTTGACATTCTGAATTTAGCATCACAACATTTAGCTGCTTTTTATTGGTACAATGTACCGAATCGTGTCTTTGTTTGAAGCTTCGATTGCAACAGGTGTTAGGTCATTGATCATTTGGCACTGATAAAAATACACAAAGAGTTCTGTGTACTGCGGTGTGGAGAAAGCACCATACCTTTTTTTTTTTTTTTAAGTAAAACTTCTTTAGGTTCAATCAAAGTTCAAAACTTTATTTGTGGATAGTGAATGAGACTTAGGCGTCACTTTCCAATTTGTAACGCTCATTCGAAAAAAGTCGACTGATTGAAGTATTTTTCCATTTGGAAAAAAATATCTCAGAAACTAAAAATCCTACCTACATACTGTAAGCGTGGAAAATGTTCAGAATTTCATCCTCTTTGTCATGAGTTATTATTTAAAATTGTATCTAAACCTGACACCATGTTAGAAAGACAAAAAGGGAAAAAGATAGAGTCGAAAACAAAATAATAACGAGTTTTGTTGAACAACTCAATAAACAAATGATATCTGAAAAACTAAAATTCGGTTATGAATAATGTAAACAAGGAAAATTTCCAGCGTTTCGTCTTCTTTATAATCAACTATAATTCAAAATTTTATGTTGACGTCGAGTTAGAGTGACAAACATGGAAAATGTAGTGTCGAAAACCAAATGATAACGACTGTTTTGAACATTTGGAGTAAAATATCTCTAAATTTAAATTGAAAGATTTTTCAATTTGTTTTCGTCAATTAAGATTAGGTGATAACAATGACTTCTGTAACTTGGCTACCCATACTCCATGCCATGGTTATCGCACTTTATTGAACATGTGTTTATGATAATTCCTTTGTTTAATTCGTCACGCATATGGTTTTCATTTTTACTATCACTTACCTATATATGAAATATATAGTAAGAAAAAGTATAGCAATCGTGAAAATTTTCGAATCTCAGTTTTCAACGGAAATAAACGTATTGAAATAATCCTGGGTTCAAATAACCAAGTCCCGTAAAATAGTCAGTGTTTTTGTATGTCTGTGTGTGTGTTAACAGACTAGGTCAAAAATGAAAAGTCGTACGCAAGACAAACTGCATATTTAAGGTTTTTATATGCTAGGGATGTTACAGCAACTTTTTCGTCTAAATCGACTAACCGAAAGTGGCACTTTATATAATGGACTAAACACATTTTTGCGATTTTCTCGAAAACAGCTCTAACGATTTTGATTAAATTCACCATATCAGTGTAAAATTTAGCAGTTTAAATTAAAATGTAGTATTTATTCTGATTGATATTCTCTAACAGGGCTTAAATGGCTTATATTCAATATTTAGTTTCTTAGCTTTCTCCAAAGTATCTTTAATTGTTTTAATTTGAAATAATTGACCATTTCACATTAATCTATAATATAAAAGATAGTTAAATATAAAATATGAAAGAATTTGATAATTAACTAAAGGAGAAATAAGAGATCGCAACGGAGAATAGTTGTAATTGAGGAACCAGAGGAATATGAGCGCACCCGAGCTCGTCCGAAAGATAAGAACACGCTTCCATACGTAACATGAGCTTAATATTATATGGACTCCAACAACATTATGTAAATATACATATGCGGTTTTCATAGACGTTTTTGTTAGTATTATTTAATATTTAATTATCTAGATTATAGCGATATAAATATTAAAATTTGTATATAAATGGGTACTTATAAAAATAAAAATACCCACAATGAAATATAAATCAATAAAGCGTTTGTAATTTTTACTTTCACTTCCTCTTTATATGAAAATTCTTATTTCCGCTAAGAAGAGGGTGGTTAGTGAAAGTTATGTGATGCGCGCACCGCACCAAATTTTTTTTGTAGACTGTGTATGTATATCTACTTTATACTCAGCTATTTTGCGATTGTCAACATAGTAATTAATTAAAAACGAACAATTATACTAAAGATAAATAAATGTATATACATGCTTATATATTAATTGTTTCTTTCAAATGGATATATTTGAAAATGTGATAACCAAGCATATTTATTACATAATTTTATTTAAAGGTTTGAAGCATCCATACGAACTCTGAATTCTCCGATGCTTTATATTTCTCTCGGATAATGTGATAATACATTAACGTAAAAATGGAAGGGTGTACGTAAATGAATCACAATTTCGTAGGATTTCTTCCTCAATGTAATTACCTTTGAATATAAGCTAAAATTTTATCAATAGGAAAATAGGGTGTGATAAAATACTTGCATACCTATTTCTTGTTCTTAGCTTAGCTTTCTAGTCGACTTTTGCTAGTTTTTAAATCGATTTTAGTTTACAGATACATCATTAAGATAACATATTTTTAACTGTTCAGAATGTGAGTTTTTAAGTACTTTTGTCTTTAACAATTTATGTCTTTCATTCACCTTTTCCATATGTGTAATTCATAAAATGGGGGTTGGTCCGCCTTTAGGTGGAAAGGGAGTACCTTCTTAGTTATATATCTATATTTTGTTTGTACCTTGGATACTCTTGACAATTTTTTAAAAATAGTGTTGAGTATTCTTGGATTTTCCCTAAATTTTTTTGGATTTTTCGGGCTGCTTCTAAATCTTCCAGTTATCAGAGTAAGCAGACATTTTATGTGCACATATTGTAAAACCGAAAAAAAAAACAAAAAAAAAACACTTATTTGCCTCTATATCTAAACCGAGCTTTGTATTATTGATAAGTTTAAGGTCCGATTTTTAAAAATGTTTGTAGTGATAACCGTGATATCTAACGTGAAATTTTATTAGTGATAAAGTGATAACTATTTACTGTAAGTGTGTTTAGCACATTGATGAATATCGTAGGTTCCAAAACTACTGAAACGCGGCTCGGGGTAGCTGAAAACATAAATGATTAAAATTTAATTACGTTAATTTATCTTAGTCAATGTATTGATTGAACTGTGATTGAGGAGAAAAATACTCATCTAATCATCAGTTTAAGACAAGTTTCAGGGTTAATAACAATGATAATATGCTTTATTTATTCTGAGTCAAGCCCCTTTTGAATAATAGAATTCTAGGATTTAGAGCCTCAGAGTTTTATAAAAAGAAGAATAAAATACACAAATAGAAATATTAAAAATATATTAATTTAGCCAACTTATCGAATATCGTCAAAAGTCAACATTGATAAATAAAAAATACTTAAAAACAATCTAATAATTTATATACCTATTTGCAGAAAAAGCTATTTACAATTGTTTGGGAATTGAATATATAGGTAGTGATTGAATAGGCGGTATTTAAAAGTGGGTAGAGTATGGATGTTGGAGAGGATGGAATTTCATTGGTTAGTAAGTTTATGTTTAATTTTAATTGATTGTTTATATTTCCTTGTTAGCGATTAAGTTGACCTTTTAAAATGCTTTTTCAATCCTTGGCTTTGATGATGTGATAAATGATATAAGCGATACATAGGATATAGGTCCTGTTGACAAGTATAATAATAATACCAATAATAATAAGCTTTAGCGAACCCGAAAGTTCGATGCCGATACCACCTATCGATGTCTACATCCTTCCATCCACAGGGCTCCGTCTTAACCCAACCCCGCCAAATCAGACTTAATTCAATCTTTCCACCTTCGCTTTGGTCTACCCCTCGGACGATTGCAACGCATATTAACTTTTTAGGAATTCTTTCGTTACCAAGCCCTAAGCCGTGGGCCCCAAGCCAAGCTATTTTACATGCTCATTTTATTCGTCTCAACTTAATCATCTCAATTATATTAATCGGATACAGTTCTTGCAATTTAGCGTTGTGTAACCGCCTAAATTCTCCGGTTGACTCGTATTTTTTCGGTCCGAATATTCTGCGCAATACTTGATTTTCAAAAATCTTAAGACGTTGCTCATCCCTTAATGTAAGCGGCCACGTTTCGCATCCATAAATAACGTAAGGAAGGATGATCGTTTTGTAAATTCTAATTTTTAAGTTTCGGAACAGGAGGCGAGAACTAAGTAGCTTTGACAAAAAAAATAACAAGCATTTCCTACCTATCCTTTTCAATTTCTTTTTTTTCTAGTTATCGTAGACCCTAAATACCTAAAACTCTATACGTGTTCAAACACACTCCCTTCTACATCGATATTATCGATGACAACGTGAATTAAATAGAAAAATATTTTAAACCATTTATTAACCGATTTGCTTGAAATGTTTTCAACATTGCCTTTATTGTTGACAAATCCATAGCCCGCAGCTAAAGAACAACATATCACATTTTTCTATATGTTCGGGGAACCAATTTTTTCCATAGCTTTGAGCTATTAGTTTCTTGGTTACTAAATTATTTAATGAAAAATTGAAAAATTGCTTATTGTTTCCTTTACTCCGAAGCATAGATATATATATGTGACATCATCGCTGTCAGTAGATTTATAGATACTACCACGATCCATAGATACTCGATTCTGGATACTAGATACTCTTCACTTCTAGCTAGTACGACTCGGTGTCTCGTGGGCGTTTCCATGTAAAAATAGATCTCCTTGAAACAGAACTAGCCCAGAGTGCTAGTTTCGATTAAGGAGTTCTCTTTCGCTAAAACGGCGCTGGTCGGGCCTGAAGCCGACAGTTGGTATTTGTTAGCCTTGAAATGCAATTTTAGCAACGACAGTGTTTGTTTCTTCTAAAAGGAAACACGTTTATGTTTAGTCGTTAACATTCGCATAAACATATGACCAACTGAGATATTTCTACCCGATCTGGAAAGCACAGAATACCAGTAAAAGTTAGGTGTTCCAAAAGAAAATCTTGATTAACCGTTGATAACATCCTCATTTATTTAATTACTTTTCATTCGAAGTTAGGTTATACCTTATTATGTTGTTTATCGATCAATTTATTTTAGGATGAGTTGTTCAAATAAGTGCTGAAGAAAGTGATAAAAACATTACGTTACAATGGAAGTGCGCATGTCGAAATAAATCATATCTTGGATATGCAGCAAGTGATATAGCTGTATTTAGAAGCAATCAAAAGGACATTGAAGAACTCTTAAAGACCCTGATGACAGAAGCAAAGCACATCGGACTACAAGTAAATGAAAATAAAACAAAATATGTATGTTAAGTCGAAGTTTGGGGGCGGAAGGGCCGACCAGGCTAATGTGTGTTTTGCTCGACATTATAAACTGCCCGGTCCCAGGGGCTCTTAATTCTGTCATTAATCCTCCCCTCTCTCCCCTTGTTCGAGAAAAACCTCATACAGCCGAAAAGACTCACGATTTTTCTTACGACTTTTATTGGTATTCTTTTACATGGTACTATTATTGGTACATACAGAAAATAGTTGCCGAGAGTAGCCAAACTCCAAAATAACCTTAAGGAATGACCAACGATCGGAAATAGACCAACACATAACATGCGCAAACACAGCTTTTTTTCCTTTTGCATACAAATAATAGCCAGTCAATATCTCACGATATAAAGCAGGGATATATCGTCCACCAGCAGGGTCCCTCCTCCCAAGGCCGATGGCGCATAAGCCTTCCCCCCCTCCTCCCAAAATATTTGATTCCTCTCTTCTTAAAAACAGTGCAAACGAAAGTAGAATACAAATATTCGAAGATTATATACAATTGCACATCATGCGGTCTATTCCATGCTTTCTCTTGTCTTTTAATTTGAAACTTCTCATTTGAAAATTCACAATCCCATCGGAATGTCGCCCCCTAAATAATTGAAAATTCCGTCAAAAAGTAACCCCCTCATAAATTTTACTTGCTACTTCCTTCTGGGCACCCCTGATATGAAGGCAGGAGGTAAAGATGGGCGTGGTATGTTGCTCGGAGCAAAAGCTTCTACACAACAATTAATTCCTCAACAGCAGGTCAAAGACCACGTGGAAGGCGAAAGATCTACTACGTCTGTAATGCCCAAAATATATATATATATATATATATATATATATATATATATATATATATATATGTATATGAGTCACTTAATATTCCATAATATTGCATACTTAATTCTCATTAAACTTCATCATGTTTACTTAATTTAAAAAAAAAAACGCTGCAAATTATTTCACAATAGTTTATTATTTTCAAACAATTATACATCTAAAGTAACATTACCTTCCGAGTTACAAAGAAAAATAAACAAAAGGTGATTCCAATAATTGGACTAAACTTTTTTTTTTAATCATTAGTAATATGCTAAAAAAAAATATCATTACTTCAGTAACACATTCAAAATTTAAAAACCAAACCAAGGAAGATAATATTTGGAGTAGAACATATGAAAAAAACCGGAGACCATATGTTTGCTCCTAATTGTCCGATTTTTTTTTTTTTTTTTTAGGAAATTTCGTAAACTTTTAAAAAACCATATCGATGATATCGACAAAAAAGTATAAACTTTTTGAGTTATTCGGAATTTAATTTTACCATCCCTCGTAACTTTTTTTCCAGCTTCTTTTCGTTGAAGTATGTTATATAAATAAATTTAAAGGGCGTCGAGAAAATGACTTTAGCGAAGTTTCATTAAAATCTGTACATTCGTTTAGGAGCTACAGTCTATAGCAACGTAGGTTTTTCGGCCGCCATTTTAAAAATTAAAGGCGGGTAGTAATGTCGATGAAGGAGGATCGTCCTCGGGTGACTTCTGATTTTATATCAACATTTGAAAAAAATCGGTCCAGTAGTTTCGGAGAAAATCATTTTTCGAATTCTACGCATCCTGAAACGTGAAACCTCAAATTTTGAGAGGGGGTTAAGTTTTTGATTTTTTTGGTCGATCACAATGGTTGATTATTGAAAATAATAAACCAAAAAACAACAGTAAGTTCACATTAATATTATAGTTTAAATTGTTTTTATAAACGGCTGATATGATTTGGTTCAAAATTGGAGACTGGAAAAGAATTGATAATGCAACAATTTGTTCGAATCACATCCACTATTTCTTCTTGCATATGCACAGACGTATTATCCTTGATATGTCTATATCTCAAAATTTGTAATGAAGTTAGAGATAGGTGAACAGATGGTCAAGTTGGTATCATTTGACATTTTCAGGAATTATAAGGATTGATATCCAATATGTATGTTATTAAATTCCGTCGATTTCTTTCGCTTAAACCTACTTTTTCTGTTGACAAGACTGTACTTCAAAAATTGGTGTTTCCTTAGATTTTAGTCTAAAAAAAAAAAAATCATACATCTTAAAATATCATCATCATCATCATGTGTGGCACGACATCCCGTTACCGAGACTGGGCCTCCTCCAAGAGCCTCCGCCAGTTGGCTCTGTCTTCTGCTGCAGCTCTCCAGTTCCGTACACCAAGCAGGGTTCTCGCATCATAGGCCACATTGTCCAACCATCTCGTCCTCGGCCTCCCTACCCGTTTTGCGAGGTGCAGCTCCTCCATCATTATTTTCTTGGGTATCTCAACGGTGCTCATTCTGGCCACATGCCCTGCCCACCTTAATCTGGCCAGTTTAATATACGTGACTACGTCGATGTCTGTATAGAGAGAACTGAGCTCCCTATTTTTTCTTTTCCTCCAGACATCAACCTCCTTTACTGGACCATAAATCCTTCTGAGGACTCCTCGCTCAAACACACTCAGCTTCATCTCATCGTTTTTAGTCATCGTCCAAGCCTCTGAGCCATATGTCAAAACAGGCCGAACAAGGGTCTTGTATATGATCAGCCAAGTCCAAAGACACATCTATTGGCAGCCGTGATCCTTCTCTGTATTTCTTGAGCCATGTCATTTTTGGTATTAATTTCAGACCCAAGGTATATAAAACTTTTTACTCTCTCAAACTTAAAAGAACCTACCTCAAATGGAGAGTTCAGATCCACCTCACCACCAACTCTCATATACTTAGTTTTCCTCTCGTTGACTTAAAATATCAAAGAAGATTAATTTAATCTAATGGTAGACTTTTTTTTTTCAATATGGAATAAGAAATCTCCAACTCTGTTTGAA